TAATATATATACATGTATCAAATTATATATATCTAAAAAGTGGTCAATAAATTCCCTGTCGAAGCTTGGTCCAAGTGAGTCGACAATGGAGGATATGCGCTGGGTCAATTCAGGCCGGTGCTGAAAACAAAACTGACACCGTCGAGTGTCACGTATTTGCTTTCTGACCTACTAAATTGCGTACCCACCTCGGTGGTTCGGATCGGGTCTTTATCGTGTAGTGCTGTGGAATGGGTTACTGAAAAGTATGAAATGCCAAGTAGGACCAGGTTATCCGTCATAATTCGGTTGAGGAGCGAGGTTGGGAGTGAACCGATGCCGCATCAGACCACGGATGCACTCGGTATGTGCTGGTTTGCCTGTATTGGAAGTATCATAGGCGGAACCAACAGGCGCGATGAATTGGTTTGGACCGAAATTTGGAAGTAGTACTTCAACAGCGTGATTAGCCGGGGTATAGGAAACATCTGTTGATATGTCAGATACGGGTGTGGGTACAGGGGTTGTTCTACATGCTGGAGAAAAGATCCAAGGTGTTCGTGGAGGGTCCAGATACCATGTAAGTCTTGGCGCTCCTGTAATTGCTGGAGGAGATCAGGGCCAATGAGAGGCAGGTTTGGGCCTACCAGGATGCATTGTATCAGTTGCTGGATGCAGGCAAAGTGGCTGGTGGTGAATTTTTGGCCACCGGGGAAGACAAGGCAGAGACAGCCGTCAGTGCAGTAGTCGAGCAACGTGAACATGTACGTATTTGTTACAATCATATCACAGAGCCGGATTGGTGTAGGCTCGAAGCAGCGGTTGAAGCTGTCGTGTCTGGCTTTGTCCCGATCTGAGGTTGGCGGTTTGCCCATGACCAATTGGTAGTAGTGTTGACGCCGGGCCATTGCCGCGATCTCCTTGTTGGACCAGCGTTTCGTTGAGTTCTTTCTAATGTCGTCACACCGTCGGCGGAGGGCTACATGGTCTGGTGTACGCTCGTCCGTGGTTTTGTATACAGTCTTCTAGTGGGCATAGATACTGTACGGGAAGCACAGTGAGGGTTTGTCGTGGGCCCAGGCGGGTTGCGTCAGAGGGGTGAGTGGGTTTGTGCTGGCCTAAAACTGTTTCCACGTCAGGCGGGATAGATAAAACTTTGATTCATGTCCCTTGTCTCGAGCCTCAGTCGTGTGTTTACGTCGCAGCTCGGTGTACAGACTCTCACGGTCGTTATTCTCTATGTTCTTACAGAACACGTGCATAACCAGGTATTCGTACCATCGCTGTGCCTTGTCCTTTGTTATATCTGGACGTTTCAGGTCAGCATCGAGTTTCAGAATGTAACTATGAATGGGCGTGTTCTCGGCTGGTTCATTTAAAATTGAACTCAGCCCAGGGCTACGCATGTCCTTCCTTAACAAGGACGTAACCAACCAACACACAGCTGGCCAGTCACGACAAGTGTCTAGCTCATGCTGGTGTCGCTGCAGGATCTGATATCTTGTACCTGTAGGATCAAACATTTGCATTAAGGCAGAGATCCATTGCTGGGGAGCGATATCATTCGTCTCCAGCATGACCGTAAACGCATTAAGCGTACGGGTTAGCGTGTCGGGGTCATGGTTGTTTATAAACTCGACCTGCTTGCTGTTGGCATCCCAGTTCGACTTAAGTCGACTGATCTGTCCCTTGTACTTCTGGTTATCCCTGTGGTCTTGTCCACGTTGGGCCTGAAGTAACTAGTCTATGCGCTTTTGCTTAATCGCAATAATATTTGTATAGTATGCTACGTCATCAGCATGATGCGCAGCATTGGCGACTTCCATTTTATTGGTATAGTCGTCGACCGATTTATTAAGGTCGGTCACCTCGTCAGAGTGGAAGTCCTCGATTAAACTCGACATCGTTTACACGCCTACGGGGGTGTTTAATACCCCTTGTAAAATCCATGGTAGAGGCCTTTCGGTGCTCTATTCCACGGATAGCGGTTGGTATTATCACCTTGGGTGATCCATGCGTCGGAATAACATACCCAGTCTTAAACTGGTTTCCGACGATTATCTTCTCAATTTGGTACAAGTGGCGGAGTATATCTCCTTACCTCTGGGTCTATAATACCCTCGAGGACGGGTGACTCACGGCCGGTTGTCAAAACAGGCGAGTAATTAGCCTGAACTTCTGGAGGTAGTGCCTCATAAGGTATAGAGACGCTGAGCACGTCTGGATCATATGTCTCAGGTGTAGAGCTTGAGTCTTTGGGCGTAATTGCCTGACGACGTTCTGTTCACTTCTGTAGGGCTTCAGTAATGCCCGGGTAAACATGTTCGCGTAAGTGCTGTGGATGTTTTCCTGATCTAATTAACTGATCTACATGTTCGACTGTCAAGTCTTTCATAATAGTAGCTAACTGATTCTTAAAATCAGCGTTTTCAGTAATTAACTTACTTATGCGCGTTGGCTTAGTAGTCTCGGACGTAGATTCGGGTTTGCTACTTGATCTTGTCTCCTCTTCTGGTTCCATAATAGGTTCCTTCTGAGATTTGTCCTTGTCCCCTATAATTGGGACGCCCCTATAATTGGAGACTTTCCTTTCTGAGTTTCGTCAAAAGAAATGGTTGGGGCGTCTTGAGACGTGTCCATTGTCTCACTTCTTGGCTTCGTAAATGGAAGCTTTGAAGTTGAGGCGATAGTTGGCCCTCGGGCTCTGTCAGTGGGAGTAGTCTCCTTAAACGAAGTGGCTACATCCTTATCTAAAGCATTGTCCTTTTGACTATTATTGTCAGAGGCAAGTGCTTCGGCTACAGTGCGGTTAAACACATCAGCAGCGGCGGCGGTTGCTGAAATGAGACGTTTAATAAAGTTAGGTTTGCCTCGTGAAAACAGCAATACTCTGAGGTATTGTGAGGCTGAGACATTGCCTATATATAATCCTCTCAGTACTGTTTCAGCCGAAGGATTTTATTTAGTGTTTCGTTGTCGTTCTATTCTGGGGCGAATCCGAGAGACTCATAAAATCCTATCTTTAGAAAAAGGAAATAAGAATAAAAATACTCTTGACGTCCTTAGTTATTGTCTTATCCAATAACTTGCCACTATCAAGAATTACCGACTTAGCCTTCATCAGACTGGCACATCTGGTTGGCTTATCGGAGGATCAACTAGGTAACGTTAATAGTCCCTTGAAACCTAATCTCGCTACCGAAGTATTCAGATATATTTTTTTTTTGGAAAGTAAAAATAGTTCTATTAATAGAACTAAACCAACACTTAAGGTCGTACGCGCGTTCACGACAACAGCGCGGAAGCTGCTTCTTGGAAAAATGGGATCAATACGTACTGACATCGGTGGATTGTGTTGACCCACACGCATAAGCACAAGCGCACGGAGTCCATTGCAGCTCGCGATGCGGAGCTGGTAGCTCAACATGTTTGTGTTCGTTTCGTTTCAGCAATGGCGGAGTGCTATTAGTCGAGGTCCGTTTTGCGCTGGACCCGGTATATCGCAGGGAGACGTTACAACGTTGGGGCGTCCGTCTGGAGAATCGTGTTCGCCATGGGTAAGACGGGGGCCACAAACATGTCGTTATAATATATGTTCGTCAACCGGCAACAAAACAAAAATGTAATAGTTGACATGTTGCTTTATCGTATATAGTACAACTTACAAATGTATAAACCAGTGACTATATTCCGGCTTAGGTTTAATAGGAATATGACTACTAGTACAGGCTATTGTCAGTTATTATTGTCTGGGGTATCCTTCACGAGAAGTGATCAGTACCCATCTTGTTCAACCTTTAGTAATTCTTACAGTTTCGCACGGTGCAATTGGTGACATGTTGGTTAGTATTGTGAGCATCTAAGTCGCGTGGATTCTACTTGCCGCTGCAATGATACCACATTGTTCCAGTACTTTTGACGTATTTGCATCAAATTAATAGGTGTGAAGCGAGTCTTCTACGTCACTACAACCTTTTGAAAATGCAGGTCGTATTCATTCATCAGCGGAGTGCTTATTCGGGTGTGAAGCACGCTCTACCGAGTGATACCAATATAAAATCAGTTGTTCAGAAATTTAGCCTCAAGAAATCCACGTTCACTGAGCAAATTCTATGTGCACTAAGCTCTACTATTGCTTTTCCGATCTGTCGTCACCGACACGTATTTATAACTTGTCACCGGCACGCGCAGGGAGAGATTCGACGCATATTAAAGTTAATTCTATCCCCACCACTGTATCGCAGCGAGGCTTCAATATATAGCGATAAGCGCCAGATCTGTATATTTTTTGTCATAGATAGTTAAATAGATTCTCATACACGGCAACCTCGGAAGACCTTATTGCATTCGACTTTTATTATTCGCTGCGAATGCCTCAGATGGTAGTGCTGACAGCTCTTTACACAAAACAGAGGGGAACACATACAGGTTGCAAGAAATCGAGTACAATTCTCCAGATTCTGAGACCTGTGCTCAACTACAAGCGGTGCGCACCGCGCCTTGCCTTACAATCATCAATGTCAATACATTCACGCTAATCTGTCTGTCTTAGTATCGACTATATAATTTTATTATTATTTTATACCCACCACACATCACACTCTATTCACAGCGGTACAGTAAAGTACTTTAGCTAGTCAGAAGATCAGGCACCAAGTTTGCACTCAAGCCCACGATAGCAGCATCTGTATCAGGATACTTCTCCACTCCGTCGATAGATTGTACAGTCCCGTCTTGCAATACTTCGAGTGGGTACGGCATCAGATGTTCGTCCATGTCTACAACCTCCTTACTCATATACCTATCCCAGTTGGCGCTTGCCACGCCTCTGATATAACGCACGCACTCGACGCTACAGAAGGGGTGAACAACCAGAGATGCCAACACGTGAGTGCCTTTTAGGAAATGAACATTTATATAGTCGCATAGTCTGAAAAATCCTAAATATAAAGGATAACTTACAAATGCGTTCTATATCTGAGTGCGCTATATTACAACCTTTCCAACGAGTATTAGCCAGAGCTACACACAGCATGCATGGCCTCCCTCCTCACAGCAACACATACACTATTCTTATCAATTTGTATAAATAACAGCCATATTACTACAGCTATGAAGATGACTGACTGTTGAATATATGCAATTCTAATCTCTTTGGTATTTTAGGTCCCATCACTGAACTTTGCATCAGTAACTATAAAATAGGCGATACACACCGCATAACAATAGGTTACTATAAACAAGACGCGTCACTAGCTTGGTTGGTATAACCAGTACAAACCTCCTATTCCAGTTTCACGATACGAACCGCACATTTAATCTATATTCCACACACATCCGGGTTCGTAAACACGTATAACTCATATTGCACATATTCAACACATCGCTACACTCCACATACCTCTCGGGCGCATCCAGCAATGGATTGCCAGCCGTGCTCTTTGCATGTTCGGCCCAAAGTGACCGACGGAAAGACGCCACATCGCCAAAGGGAAGCTTAAAGGTGCCATCGTCCATCTCCTCGGTCACGTGTTCGGGCTGGAACATGCCCGTGGAGAGCTCAGTATCACGATCACCGGCTAATGAACGCTGTTAATACGTTCAAAGTTCAATATATACATATAAATGAGTTTATATATATATATGGATAACGATATAGATATATATTGGTATATTCATTGGAGTGGACGTGTGTCTATGTGCATATATATATGTGCACATAGACACACATATATATACATAAATACATTATATATATATATATATATATGTATATGTATATGGATATGTATTATGTATTTTATATATATATATATATATATATGTATATGTTTATGTGTATGTATATGTATCAGGTATATTCTACATATATACATATATATATATATACATACACATACATATACACCTATACACACACACACACACATATATATATATACATGTTATAAAATGTCTAGGCAGCTGATGGAAAATTGCAATCTCAATATAACCCGATTTTCGATAGTTTTGGCTTGTCTTGGGACATGAGATAGGTACATTTGGTGGATCACAAAAGGTGGTTTTCGGGTGTAGCCCTGGAATCCTGTGAGTCACGGAAATAGCCCCGAGTGTTCGTTAGGCGTGCATGCAGTGAATGTTATTGGTTACAATACACCTTTAAGATAGCAGTTAGTCAGTGTTCTCTGCTTAGGGCTGCATCTTAGTGCGAGTGCACCTACCTCGTTGATGTTCGCTGAACCGACCATGATGTACTCATCGTCCACAATCATCATCTTGGAGTGCACGTACGCCATGTATCGCCTAGAATAGTTGAGCTTGCGCTGTAACGATCCCTCGGTAGCCGACGTGGGCTCTGCGGTGTGCTGCGGAAAATAAAGGCAGAGAGTATGTTTTGATAAGAGGATTGGTGGTTAAGATATATTTGAATGCTCATGTATTAATAGCTACAAATAATATTTTGTAAGCTGTGGGAATAGAGCCAGACCAGATGTTTTCTAAAGGGATTGGTGGAAAAGATATGTATGAAAGCGCTCGTACTAATAGCTACACACGATCATTTGTAAGCTGTGGGAATAGAGTCAGACGGTATGTTTTGTTAAAGGGATTGGTGGGAAAGATATGTGTGAATGCTCACGTACTAACAGCTACATACGATCATTTGTATGTTGCGAAAGGGAGAGGGCACCTTTTTTGAAGGGGTTTGAGGGGATTGAGGGGAAAGATATGTGTTAATGATCATATATTTACAGCTACAAACGATCATTAAGGAGGGGTTTGGCACTACCTGATAGTTTACAAGCCACATATATACCATTTACTAACATCCACGAACACGCGCACATACACATTTACAAGTTAATGGATCGGCGACTTTTATTTACAAATCAATATTATACAAAATAAAATAGGGGCACATTTCAACATGTCAGGCAAAAAATATTGTCAACACACTGACAACTTCCCGCGTGTGAATGAGAAGTGTAGATGGTCACATTAGAGCAACCGCAACAAATTTAGCGATCCACTTGCACACACCACACATACAACCATATACTGTACATACATACAAATATTTACAATGATATAGCACAGGAAGAGAACAGCGAGTGAGCATCTGCGATACCCGCATCCTTGATTGCCTTAGCAATGCGTTTGCGCACGACACGTACGTATGCATGCACATGTACAATCAATAAACAAACACATATATAAACGTTACGATCACTTGCATATCGTACATACATACCTGTGATCCCTCTAAAGTTTCTCTGCAACCCAAGCAGAAGAACTGTAAATAGTCCAGGGGGTGTGCGTCTGGGACACCCGCATCCTGAATAGCCTTAGCAATGCGTTTGTACATGAATTCGTATGTTCGGAATTGGAAGTGCAGGATTTCTTGCGGGGTGGCCTCCTGCGGCCAGCTCTCGCAGAACATGGGGATGAGGCAATATACAGCAAATCTCTTCCCGGCTCGGATCTTGAGCTCGATCTGCGTCACCAGCTGTTATTTTGACACGTGTATAAATAGAGCATGGATGAGAGAATGAAAAGACATAGTTCTGGGTATGGGACAATGATTACGAGAGAGTGGTTTCTGATTCTGAACGCAGTCTGCGTGATTAGTGACAATAAGCACACTTTTGAAGATATTACGCCCGGATGTAAATTCACAAGGCCAGGTCATTCGTTGATCGTGATCTAAAGTTCGAGCTGCGCCACAGATGGCACTACAACTACAACTATTACTTATATATATATGCATATACATGCATGTATAAGCATATAT